GTTTTTTTTTCTTTCCCACAAGAGCAACAATCATTGTAAGCTGGGAATCGGGCCCAGTGTCCCTCACATCATGGGCCGCAGTCTTCGGGATGAGCCAGACAGTGGGAGGCACGCCGCACCGGTACACCGCACGGGTCTATATTCATTTACGTCAGGAGGAGGCTAAGACCCCCCGGGATACTGGTGCTCATACCACCCATTGCAGTAGCCTCCGCCTTGGTTTAAAAAAAAAAAAAAAAAAAAAAAAAAAGAAACTCTTCAGTGCAGACACCTCTGAATCTCCCCGCTGCCGCCCCCACAAAAAAAATTGCCCGTCACCAAAACGCTGACAGCTATAGGCAAATCACACCCCAAGATAATTCAGCCATCTGAGGGCCGAACAAAATCAGGGCTCACACCTGGTGGTTTGACTGAGAAACTTCAATACGGTAACCACGTTTTTTCCACTTTTTCCACTTTTTCCACTTTTTCCCACTTTTCCACTTTTCCACTTTTTCCACTTTTTCCACTTTTTCCACTTTTTTTGCAACTGTAGTCAGTGTAGTGTCTATTCTGATCAGTTTCATATCTGATCCGTGGTTCATCATCTGTCTCTGGATTTCACCCCAACAACACCTGCACCTAAGCTGGGTAATGGTCTCAGTTTTTTTTTTTTTTTTTTTTTCCCCCCGAAACAGAACAAGTACATTTTACATTCCTTCCCGGCTGTTTGTTGGGGATGCTGGGGCTCTCCCTTTCAATTTCAATTGGTGTGCGTGTTCAAATGACCAGAGCCTCGAGCTGTCGTTTTCCACCACCTCTTGGATTTTACTTGGACTCTGATCTGTTTCATCATGTGGGTGTGAACTCTCACGCCTAAAAAAAAAAAAAATTGAAAAAAAAAAGAAAACTGCAACACTACGTTATCTGTTTTTTTTTTTTTTTTTTTTTTTTTTTTTTTTTTTTTGCAACTGCAGGAAGAGATGATTCTGGAGGCGTAAGAGAAAGTGCATTAGAAGATTGGGCCTTGCTCCAGTGCACAACATCTTAGATGCATCTAGAGCTGGAAATGATTCCCTTGTACATTCAAAAAATTTCCATCGGTCCGAATGCATCCGGTCCATAGGCAGTCCAGATACATGATGTCGAATGTGATAAAACAGTCACATTGTGACTCACTGAAACATGGGCGGATTGTTGCCATGGTTCCCCTGAACTGAATACTTGTTTGTTTGCTTAAATTATTGAAAGTCGTGAAACCTATCTGATTCAATAATTTTAGGAAATGTCAGCGAAGCCTGCGAAGGGGATTTTGAGTCTCGTGCCGCCACTCACCGAATGTGGAAAAGACAAAAACTATGGAGGGCGTATCTTTTCACATCACAAAGGAAGATCTTCTCCACTTTGTAGATCTAATGACAGGTGAACAAGGGCCAGTGGCTCTCCTACTGCAAGGAAAATTGCACAATACAAAATATTAAAATGCCAAATCAAACTGTCCTTCGGGACGTCCGATTTTTTTTTTTCTTTTTTTTTTTTCTTTTTTTTAACAGCCATCGCGGATGCTAGGGGTGCTGGTAAGAGCAGGCACCGCTAGCATTCCAGGGGGAGGCTCCGTCTATTGGTGGGGACCACCACCTGCTGGAAAAAGAGCGGGTCCAGCGTCCCTGAACATTGTAACTGTTTGTTTGATGAATCAGACATACCATTGTGATGACAGTGGGCTACAGGGACGTCCGTTTAAATTGGAATGATACAGAGAGAGGGAAGATTTTTTTTTTTTTTTTTTTTTTTACGAATAGAGAGGGAAGATTAGCGTTTAAATTGGAATGATGGAGTGCGCAAGGATGACAAGCCAAATCGAACTCCATCATATCGATTGGTATCCGTTTGATAATAAGGGGGTAACTATGGCGCGGTCACGTTTTCAGTTTTAGATGCACTTCAGGCATCCCTCGAATACCACACATCCCCACCTAGCCCTACAGCTGGGTTGCATACATTCAGGATTTTCCCCGCTCTGGAGCAACATTCGCGAAATCGCAAGTGAGTCAAACGCATTTAAAAACTGAAAACCGTGACTGCAGGAGTGACGAAAATGAGTTGTAATTGCACAATGGGCCAACAAGATACAGTTTGGAATTGCAGTTCGGGCTTTGTATACAACCCATCTTTCTGGGCAGGTACGTTGCCTGAAGTGCAATAGTTGCAACAAACTGTGTCTTGCCCCATGGTGCAATTATAACTCGTTTTTGGGAAAAGCTGCCTTCTGCTCACATAGTTGGGGACAGCCACACATTTTTCTCGCACCTCACGTATTTTTCGGTCTCGGTGCACGGCACACGAAACGAAAACGAAACGAGTGCATCTGTCCACGAAAGGTGGCAAATACACTAGTTACTATCTATAGCAAAGCGATGAACCTGGCCATTTAACTGGCGCTCTGCCATGTCATGGAACATGTAATATAATAAATAAATTCAAACAGAGAGTGATCAGTCGCCTCGCTGGCTGAGGGCGTCGCCGCACGGCACACGAAACCAAAAAGGAAACGAATGCATCTTCCCACAGAAAATGGCCAGGCTCATCGCTTTGCTATAAATAGTAACGTGTATTTTGCCATCTTTGCTGGGCCGATGCACTCGTCTCGTTTTCGTTTCGTTTGCCGTGCGGCGAGACCCTGAGTCTTGCTCAAAGCGTTTCCATGTCGGATTTTGGGTGCGAGGGATCTGCAATGAGACAATTTATTTATTTTTATTTGTTTAGAAGAGCAATGCGTTATTAAACCACCAGAACAACGCGTTCTCAAACCAGTACTACCGTCTTCCCCCGAACATAACGCACTGTGAAAATGAACGTATGCAAGGCATGTTTCCGGGCCGATACAGTCAAAATGAGGGTGCGTTGTGTTCGGGGGAAGACGGTAGTCTTCCTAAAGTGGCGGCCATCAAAGTGCCGACGGGCTTCGGGCTGAATGAACCAGGCACACAGAGAGCGCCCAAATGCATCCGACTAGAAACGCTTCCAATTTTATCTTTCCAGCCGACGGGCTTCGGGCTGAATGAACCAAAGTACTGGCAGTTTAATCACAAGGCTTAATAGCTGATGAGAGCTTGTCATTGTTGTCAATGAGAATACGCCCTTCGCCAAAAATTGGTTTTGTAACCCACTTTAAGCTATAGACCTCACTACTCCACTCACCACATGCACTAAAGACAACAATAAAGTATGGTCATGCATCTGTCCATGTTTTATGCGAAGGTTCATTCTCATTTTGCACACATTTGGCCGTACGCATCTATCTCACAATCTAACCCATACCTTGATAACTTTAACAACCTTGATAATTCAGTGCAGGGAGGCTGGACCCGATTTCCAGCAGGTGCTGCAGCTCCCCACCAATCAATAGATGGAGCCTTAAAGAATCTATCTCGTCCTCTCACGAGTGATACTGCTCATAGTAATGAATTTTTGAAATCATGATATCATTAATATGTGAGATAATGTGACCCCTTTTCCGCCCAACACCCCCTTACCCTGGTGGACGCTCAATGACATGGGATGTAGCTAGGCTTGGAATAACTAGAATAATTGACTGCCTATTCGGGCTGAAGAGGTAAATAGTAAATACACGTCCTTAGGACAAACGCTCTCTGTTCTCACCTTGACAACCTGTGTGTCTTTGTGCATTAGCCAAAGCCCGCTAATGGCCCCTGAACTGTGTGGATTTGATATGTATGGGAGATGCTCGGCCCAGTTCCTAGCACGTGCTGCTCCCCACAAATAGATCGGAGACTTGTCTGGAAAAAAAAAAAAAACAAAAACAAAAAAAAACGTGGGGGCCTGCCAAGAGCGAACGCAATTCGAGCTATTAAGCCTGCCTACTCGCAGCATGGGCCACAAGCGCTCCCTCTGGGCGCAGCCAGTCTCAGACCCACAACCTGCATGCATCTTACAACGCAGTCGCCCAAACAACCGGCCTCCGTACATTCACTCTGTCGTACGTTCACTCTGTCGTGTGTGTGAATGGCCGTACGGCAGTTAATTCCTGCCGGTGTCCATGCGCAAGGGCACGGGGGTTTGAACCCACCCCCTCAGACCATAATGTGCACATTTCCAACCCCTCCTTTACCCACTCAGCTATCAGCCATTCGTTATCATGTCACCTGTTTTGGTTCCCCATGTTCGGTGTTCTCTTTTTTGACCCCTACATCGTGACGGAAGAGGCACATACGAGTCCGAGATGCTCCTCCTTTGGATTCTTCCTCCTCTACCGGGTTCAAAATCATGACTGTAAAAAAGAAAAAAAGAAAAAAAGAAAAAACGGCCTAGCTCGGTTGGTACACCCCCTCCCCCACGAACTGTTGAAATACAGACTCACGTTCAAATCCATATACTATCCGATGAAAAGAATAAACTCGTTCTGAATTGCCTGGGGCCGGTCAGTTCAATGATGATACCAAAAACCCGTCGCCCTTTCAAAAAGAATGTCGAATAAAAAGAGGGAAAAAAAAAAAGAAACAAAAGAAACTAAGACGAAGAAGAATGGGAAAAAAAAGAAGAAACAGAAGAGATTATAGGGTTAGAAGAAGAAGGGCGGGTCCTTGGGGACATCCATTAAAATTGGAACGATACAGAGAAGATTAGCATGGCCCCTGCGCAAGGATGACATAACAAAAAAAAACAAAAAAAAAAGAAGGGCGGAGGAGGGGGAGGGGAGAGGAAAGGGATACATGGATCCCACCATAAAAATGTCATAGGAACCTGACCAGCATCAAATCAAGCACAGGTAGAATGGGGGGATGGGGTTCGGGGAGGGGGCGGGGGGGGGGGGGGGGGGGGGGGGGAGAGGTGGGGCACAACAAAAACCGTCAAAAGAGATGAGAAACCAATGTGAAAGCGAGTCCAACTCCACAGTCCACAGCCGCACTCTGAATTACCTAGCACAAAATAAATAAATAAATAAATAAATAAATAAATAAAATTACCAAGCACGAGTGAAAAAGATAACGTCAAATTGGAAACATGAATTGAAATCATAAAACAACAGAGCGCTGCTTTCCCGACACAAAGTGACGGCTGGCTGAAAATAGCGCAGCAAGAGCCATATGATCAGAAGCGAGAGTGCCCAGCCCGGTGTGCGGGCGGGCACCTGTCATTCCTCACTAAGCTAAGCTGACTGGCTGACGTCGCCAGTTATTATTAAAACAACCACCGTTCATTTTACGATGGTCCTTCCTGGCTGAAGGCACAGACCAAATAAAGTCAGCTTCTTGCTTCTTCTCTCCTTAACCTTAAAGCCTCAGTTACAAAAACACTGTTCTGACCAAAGCAAACAGCTTGGTAGTACTATCTTGCGTTAGAATACCACAACTGGCATGTGCAGATTAACCGAAAAAGCCAGTCTACGCCAACTGCTCTCACTAATCTAGATTCTCTTTGCTTTGAAGTGAGGAAAGAAACCCTACCCTCACGTGCAAAGAGAGGCACAGTTACACACACAGAGAGAGAGAGAGAGAGAGAGAGAGAGAGAGAGAGAGAGAGAGAGAGAGAGAGAGAGAGAGAGAGAGAGAGAGAGAGAGAGAGAGNGAGAGAGAGAGAGAGAGAGAGAGAGAGAGAGAGAGAGAGAGAGAGAGAGAGAGAGAGAGAGAGAGGCATGAAACCCTACCCTCACGTGCACAGAGAGAAGCGAGGGGGGGCGGGGGGGAGAGGGGGGAGCTGAACTACCTATCTGAAAAGATCACCCTCGGAATCAGTGAATCTCAGGGTCTTAGGAGTACTCCCTCGCAATCAATCATTGCGTGCGTTCTTGTCATAAGAAAACGTTGCAGTATACCATGTCCTTGTGGCAGACTACAGCCTAAACCAACAACATCCCAATACACTGATCCCTTCCTCCCTTCTTGCAAAAATTGTCTCACAATGAGCGAAACAGAGACGAGCCGTAGAAACAACCAACTGCTTCGCCGTCATCATCACAAGTGGCCCGGTCATCATCACAAGGGAAAACAGTTCGCCGTCATCATCACAAGGGACCGCCATGGAAACAGAGAAGAGCTGTAGAACTAATTAACTGCTACGTCCGACGTGGTCGTCATCACACTTGGACCGGCAGGACAACCTGCAGACGAACAAGGAGATCTTGAAATGATGCACGGGGAACAACAGTCACACATCTTGCACTGCATACCCCATCACCAGAGCAGAAAGCAGAAGGCAGTGCCACCTCCTTCGCAAGCTCTCAAGAGCGACAAGCACAGCGCCACATGCACCACCAGAAGTTTCTGCCGCTTGGCACGCATATGCATGCAATCGCCTGCTGGGTGACAACAATTGCGCATCCGATCCAAGATGGGTGATTTGCTTCCCTGAACATGTGCAAGGGGGAGCGAGTGTGTGTAGCACCCAGCAAAAAATAACTGAACGTAACCTTGCCAGAAAAGGAGGGTCGCATTTACGAAAAGGAAGGCCCCTTTCCTCAAGGATCGACGAGCAAAGGAAGGCAGCACTGTTTATTCGGGGGTCAGGATCTCCGGGGAGGGGGGAGAGGGGGAGGGGGGGGGGGGGGGAGCGGGGGGAAAGCATATGCAACCCCCCCCTCTTCATCAGCATCGTACTCACACCTCAGCACAGCAAGGACGCGTACTTTCAACAGTGAGATGAACCTTGGGTGTGGCACCAGATCGAAGGATCATCCATTGGAAAGACAGAGAACCAGCAATCCAACAACTTGTTGCAGCTATCTCCCCTACCTTTACAGTGGCTGCTGCACCTATCTCCCCTGCCTCTCCACGCTACACCCTATCATCAATCGCAGGGCAGATAACTGATGCCGGAGACCACAGCGTCTCTCGATCGGCTGTCTACGAGGATGCCAGTGAAGAGATCTGCATCCACAGCAAAACAACAAAAAAAAAGGGGAAAAAAAACAAAAAAAAACTCACGTCCCGCCACAAGCTACACGTCAACCCACTGACGAAAGAAATCTGCATTCCAGTCATGTAAGACATGCCACCAGTAATTGCAACCCTGGGTCTTCCTCAAGGGTTTCTAGAAAGGGAGGGAGGGGAGGGAGGGAAGGGAGGGGAGGGAGGGGAGGGAGGGAAAGTGGCCTTGCAGGTGTGACCTCGCAGGCCGCCGAAAAGTTGTTTCTCAATCGCTGCCAGAGAGGGCACAATAGACATTCTTCTCCAGACTCACTCCTTGAAGGACTAGGACTGCGGTCCTCAGCGAAAACGCCTCAACGAAAAACAATTAACGCAGTAGGTTGAAAATCTACTATATTCGACTGTGTGTAGAATCTACTCGACGTTGTTGGCCTGGGCAGCAGCAGCCACTGGCTCAGCCCAGTTCTTCTTTGTGCAGACGAGCAACCTGTCCCCACTGAGTTCGTCCTCTGTTTTCCAGCCCTTGCAGTCCCATCTCATGCCCTTGACGACTCTCGCCACCTTCTTCATGTTCGATTTGCTATCTCTGATAATGGCAGACCCCTCGGGTCGGAGAAGGCGATCCATCTCGAGAAGAATGTCGACGGGATCGCACTTGCTGGAATAATGAGTAAAGATGCTATCTGCATGGATGAGATCGTACGTCCGCGGGTAACTGGAGAAAGCCTCACACCAATCCTGATAGGTTCCAATCAGTCCCCTGTCAAAGATAAAAGGAAGGGTGTTCGGCCCGGAGGACATCACAGCATTCATAACCCACGCGGAAGATCCGACCTGGCCATCGAGCGCCGCTGCAAAGGAACCAAAGCCGGCGTTCATATCCAGAACGTTTCTGAATCTCTTGGTCGCAATCTCAGGAAGAGCAGTGCTCGCATAGAAGTCCACTGCCTTCTTCCACTTGGCATTATCCAACTCGAAATCACTTTCGCTGTACACTGGCCTGCTGCTATCGCTGTCCAAAAGATTCAAAAGCCGCGGGCTAGGTTTGCTCAGGCGATCGGGCCAACGAGGAATCAGATCAATCGATGCTGGGTCTTCTTGCTCGGGCAGCGCTGTGATACAACTTGTCATGGGAGTGTACCAAGCGGAATCGGGCTTGTCATCATCCCCACAAACTGGGGGAGTGGCACCCTCTTCCCTCTGGGTGTAGCACTTGCTATCTTTCGGCTTGCGCCAGATAGCGAAGTCCCCAGCCTCCCCTCCCTTCGCGATGTACTCCCAGCAAAGCTTTTCGGCGATGGCCTCGATGTCTGACATCACCTTGCGGATATCGTCTTCAACATTATGCCATTCCTTCTCGTGCTTCTGCCAATTGACAGGAGGACCGGAGAGGACCCAGTAGCCGCCAGGGCGAAGCAGACGGTTGATTTCAATCAAGAAGAGGCCATCGCGATCGTACCAGGGGATCAGACAGCGGCTGCAATGGGCAAAATCGAACGAGTTGGAGGGATAGGGCAGGCGCTTCGTAGCCAGAATCCCCAGGATGGCAGGTACTCCGCGTTCAAGCGCAAACTGCACCTGTGCCACGTGAGTGTCCCTCGGTGCGAATGACACCGTGAGCACATTGCGATCGAGCAGAAAAGCCCCCAGACTGGCAACCCCACAGCCTGCATCTAGTCCGGTTCTTATCTTACCCTCGCCGAACTTCAGGTACTTGTCCATCTCATCAATATACGCGTTGGCGCCGTTAGGAAACATGGTTCCACCTCCTGGGAACGTTAAGCGTCCAGATTCAGGATCATGCTTCACCCAATTCTGGTTAGCTTTCTCTCTCGTAAGGTGGAGGAAGGGGACATTGTTATACCAGACAGAACCCCGGCTTTCGGGCCAGGGCACGCATTTCTTGTACCCTTTCTGAGGAGGGATGAGACAACGCAGGAGCTCGTCCTGCCTTGGGCAATGGCGCTCACGATACTCGAGGTGTTCCCGAGGGAACGGCAGAGAGCGCTTAGGATCTTCACAGGGCGTGTAATCCACATACTCATCACCACAAGGTTCAAAAATTCGCTCCACTCGGCTTCTATCCGAATCAGTCTGTTCAAGCTCCGGAAATTCGTTCGATACAGCTCTCGCTCCCCGACCTCTAGCCGGCTGCGCACCGCCCGACTTGCCCAAGTAGTAAAAGACGCCGCATAGGAAAGCCACTACAAGAACCGCTGGCAAAAGCTTCGACCTGTCTCTTTCCCTTTTCACAGCTCGAAAGCCCGAGCTCCCCATTTTGGACTCTAGGAAGGAAAAAGAGACAAACCGGCCTCTCTCTATCAACTCAAGGAAGATAGTGAGTGTGCTCAGCCCGCAATGGAAAACGCTGCTTTGACGAAGAACAGCGACTGAGCTTCTTCACTCCCCGCAAATCTGCATTCCAGCGAAAACATCCGTTCATCATCAAACCCACACCACAATCAGAAACACCTTCGGTCAAAGCCCGAAAAAAAAAAGATAGCCACAACACAACAAGCTCTCCGTCGTGCACACCCACGGTGACTTGTTAGAACGCACATACAGCAGACTATAAATAACTTCAAGAAACATACAGCAGACTATAAATAACTTCAAGACAGCCAGGAAAACGTACACCACATACTAGACTCAAAAAGTGTGCGCATTTCTTAATTCCATTCAGCTAAACCAGATAACGAGATACCGATCTTTCGGCTGGCTCTGCAAATTTTGATCTGTTTCGTCCAGTCGATTCAAGGGCACCGCATAGACCCAATGAATTCCGTCAAGCACATAGACAGTGGTGCACATTTGGCGAGTGATGCGTCAAATCCCATGACGTCCTTCAATCACATACACAGTGATAGACTCAAGTTTCCCAGCTATTTTGTGGAGGGGTGCAGAGCCCGACAACGAGATACAAATCTTCTGGCTGAAGCTGGAAATCATTTTCGACCTGTGCATTCAAGGAGTTTATGGGATTTGCCGCACCACAAGGATTGCACTGACAGCCGATTTGCTTCAGCGGCTGAGATCCCAATACAATGTTGCGGCAGCATGCAAGCCACAACTAGCATGCATGCGGATAGACTGGGAAGAACGCCCCCTGGGAACGTTAACCGGCAGGCTCTGAGGCAAATGCATATAGACCTGCACGGCGCACAGATTCAGCCATCGCGTTAACAGCCTAAAATCATGGAGGTACTGGTGGTGTAACGGCACAATGCAGGGGCCCGCAGGGGTCAGCAACTCAGCGCAAAGATTTGTCGGTTGACTTGGACAATTTCTCCGGCTCAGGTTTTGTGGAAAACAATTTTTTTTTTAAATCCACTACATAAATCTGTTATTTAAACTTATTTTCAACATTTTTTCGGCATTGTTTTTTTTTTTCACTGCTAGGAGAAGGCGCATGAAGTTGGTTAGTTCTTAAAAAAATAAAACGAAAAAAAACATGAAAAAGCTCTACCAAAATTAATCACAGCTACTGCTACACCTATACAGAAATGCTAACAGAGATCTATCAAAATACGGTTCTGGCTGCCACGTGTTCCCCGTATGACTATAATTAGACTTAGTGGTAGGTGGGTGCTGTGAAGAGGAATTGAGAAAAGAATGTAGCCCAACGTAAAGAAAAAAAAGAAGAAAAAATAAAAAACTTCCTTTCTGAGTACCAGCAGTACCTAGGAAAGGCAAACACAGATACTGGCATTTGAACAAAACAAAAAAAAAAAAAAAAAAAAAACTCTTACCATA